TATTTTATTTTGCAGCAAAATTTTTACGTTTCACATCTTTAGCAAAAATTTTGTGTTTCACAAATTCCTTAATAATTTATTCATTTTGCAGTTAGAATTTCAGGTTTCACGAGATCTATAAAGGTTAATTTATTTGGGTAAGAATTCTACGTTTCACAAACCTTATAACAGGTCTCACAGAGTCTATATTGTCGTACTTTAATTTTCAAAATGTCTACCGGAAGTTCATTAGCCAGTTAAACTTTCCTCCTGATTTGCTAATTGAAATTAGCGTGCTATCTCAAAAAACTTGGGTGTGGCTGCTAGTAAGAGTATTACCCTAAAGGCCTTACCTCAAAAAAAGTGGGGCTGTCAGGAAATCAGAAAAGCAAAAATCGATAGAAATTCTTATGGGCGGAGCAAAGTCACTTGCCAACTTTTAAATTGGATTATCTCGAATCACTGAATAGTCTCAGATTCTATTTTCATCCCCCCCCCCTTCCCCATATCCGCTGATCCGCTCTCATTCTCCCATTGAACCCGAGTTTTATTACCATTTTAACGCCTTGCGCGACTTTCTCTCAATTTTGCGCGTGATAAAGCTCCGGCCTTTTTTTTCGTCATCATTACCTTTGTTCACGAAGGTAGCTCATTTTGCTTTCAAACTAGTTTCAATGTAAATAATTCTAATTTTTGTACCATGTGCGAGCTTCCGTCATTATCCTTGGAGCGCGTTTTTACTCTGGTTTAAAAAAAGCACTCCTTAGCGACCCGAATTGCTAGTTTATTTTCGGTCATGTCGACGCCATAGCCGGACAATTTATGTGGGTGTACCGAACTCACTTCACAAACCGTTTTGGGGCTGTTTTAGCATCTGGGACAACTCGTCTGACCGGTGGGGCTGCTAGCTGTTTTGTTTAGACAACCCATATAAGCACATATAAACGTCTGTCCAGTTTATTTGTGCATTTGCGGACCAGCGTCAATACGTAATAGATCATAATCCTTCACGTGCACATTCCACTATTCACCTATTTGCCCTCCAGCTTATCGTTCGCGTAAAAAAAATCGCATTTGTGAATCAAAATCCATGTTTGCTGCGACCAGCTGCTGTGCATTCGTGCAGTTGTGCAATTGCGGACCGGCACGCGTAAGCTGCGAGCTCTAGCACTATAACGGTTCTTACCAACACTTGAACTGTTCGCAGTGTCGCAATCGCCCTTGACATTTTCTTATGCATGGGCTCGTCGATCGTTTTTGATGTTGTTTCAATGAGTTCACTCTTGAGCGTCTAGAGTGGCCTTCACAATTCTTCCATGCTCCGCCTAGAGTTTATTTTTGGCTATTTTTCGCATGTCTGAGTCTGAATCTCTCTTCTCAATCTGCGAATATTCGCAGCAGAGAACGAATATTCGATGTTGGACATCTCATCCTATCAAATCCTAACAATTCTATCTCATCTCAATGTTGTTTTCCTGAACGGATCATTTCCTGAAGATTCAGTTTTGTGCTTTCCAATTATTTAAGAAGCATCATCACTCAGTTCACCGGGACTTCCGCAGGACAAGCAAAATTTGCAGCGGTTACGCAGGATTTTTTTACTATCACAAAAGTGGAAAAGTTAAAAGAGGGAACTTCCGCAGCTTTCCACGTCAGACTGGTTGAAAACGGGCACTTCCGCAGGGCTTCTACAAAATTCTACGGAAATTCCAAAAAATGCCAGCGGTTTCGCAACACTCTGACTCGCCAGTACTTCCGCAGGACTTTAAATGTGTTGTCTCTTACAATGCTGCTTACGTTTATGGAGCTTCCGCAGTGACCCGGCGGACCTTCACACACGTTCCGCGGAAGTTCCGGTCATTTGTCTGAGCAGGAGCACTTAGTGCTACAACATAACAACTTCATACAGTAGAGTAATCTTCCTAATGGGTGCAATGCACACTTTTTGGAATGGGTTTGGCCATAGGGCCAATACATCGTTTTTTTTCTCACACTTCTTTTGTCTTCGTTGCTTGAGTACAATCAGGTACACAGATTGTGCTTGTCTTACGTGGGGCTGCGTTTTGTAGTCAAACTCGTGAAGATTGTGTTGTTGCACACAATAATAGGGAGACCTACAGTCTGTGTCAATCACGTGCTCCTTTTTCCGTAAGCCCAGTCGCCACGCTGGAGCTTCACGCCACCTTCGCACGCGTATGGTTTGCGCATTCAAATTGGCTTCATCGACAGAGATCCGCACGCAGGCCCTAGCGTTGCGTATGCGTAGTTCCTACGCGGAAGGGAGTATGTCACTGACACCAACTGTACTTGCCTACATCTGTTACTCATCATGTATGAACAATGCACTCCTGCGTTCATACATTGCCTCATTCTTCTCACATTTCTCCATTCATTTACAAAGTCATTCACATACATACACTCGCATCTTTGACTTATTCCTATTTATGATTCATCTATTTATTCTTTTCATTTCATTCAATAAATTAACTTCTTCGTTCATCACCGGGCATAAGTCTCGATAAAATCATATAAAGGATTTTTATTCCATCTTCAAACTTCTCGACTATCTGGCAACTTTGATTGTCTGTGACTGGAAATTCGCGCGACTTTACTTAGGTGGACGAAGAAATTTTAGGCAATTTGCAGCAAATTTTTGCACTATAAAGTTCGAGAGTTCCTTGTTTTCTATATTTCCATAGGTTGAAAACAAGATCCACCCTTGCCTATCCTTTTTTCATCCTCAAAGCTTTCCTTTGAGCCCAATTTCTTCGCAAAAGAAAAAAGTTGTTTGTCAGGTCAAGATGCGTTGAGTGCGTTTTTTCTGCGTTTGCTCCGAATTTCAGCTTTCTAGATCCATTGGCCCTGAATGCTTTTTCTAGTTCTGAGACAATAACGAAATTAGCTCCACTTGACCTGACCCATTTCGAAAATAGTCTGCACTGATAATGTGTCATAAAAATAGTTTACGTGGACTACGATTGTTCCATTGAGAGCATGGCCAATGAAGTGGTAAGTTAAACCTAATTTGATATCTAGGGTAAGTGTTTGACATAGATGGCAAACTAGAAAAGCAAAAATGGTGGTTGGGTTTGGAAAACTGAGTGCTGGACAGTTCCAGAGAGTACACACTTTGGGTTTATTCCATTTTCTCCCCCAACTTAATTTTTTCCTGCACCGGAACTTCCGCAGGACAAGCAAAATTTGCAGAGGCTCCGCAGGATTTTGTTTACTAATGCAAGAGTGGAAACGTTGAAATGGGGACTTCCGCAGAATTTTCACGGTTTAAACTGGTTGAAGACGGGAACTTCCGCAGGACCTTTTGCAAAGCGCTGCGGAACTTCCATAAAATGCCAGCGATTCTGCAGCAGCTTGACATGCCAATACTCAAGTTTTTGGATGTTTTGCCTTTATGAATTGCCTCGCCAAAAAGTAGAGTGCGTTGTCGAACAGGTCATCTGTAGTGCAAAGGATAGTAAGGGAGTTTTGCGGTCACCTCATCTTGGAACTTCCGCAGCACCTCATTTGAAACTTCCGCACCACATTTTTGGAACTCTCGCAGGTGTGAGACGATAGAACTTTCCCGAACGTTTTGCGGAAGTTCCGGTCAGTTGTATGTGTTGTCGCATAAGTCGATTAAACGGCTAATATAGTAAATTTTGTGGACTTGTGATTTTGGCGTAAAAAGCACCCCATACCTGATAAAAAAAGTTGTTTCTAAATATATTGCGAACTCCACGTAATTTATCTCAGACCAATCGCAAAGGAACTTCCGGGGCAAACTGAGCTTCTAAGACTTTGTGGGGGAACACTCCCATTGGAGCTGCCAAGTAGGGCGGGGCTTACGCCACACGGACCAATAGGAGCGTCCGCCCGGAAGTCATAGAAGCTCAGTTTGCCCCGGAAGAAAATTTTTTTGCGATTGTCTGAGATAGATTGTAAGATCTGATTCGTGACATCCGTCACCTTCCTTCACCCCCCCCCCCCCAACACAAACAATTTTTTCCCAGATCTTCTATCATATCTATGCTCTCAGAAACCAGTCGGATACATCAAAGCTGTGTGGTCTCTCAAAGCCACACCTCTGTTTCTAATCTTACTCTAGCTTCTGTTTGCTTTACGTGTGCTCAAAAGCACCGCCTCTTCAGTTCCTGGGTACTTCAGGTCATAGGGTGGTTTGGCTGAGGTGCCCAATTCATTCTCTTCGTGCGCCACCCACAAGGTTACCCAGCTGGGTAACGTTATGTCGCTGATAGGTTCTACCCACGCCGTTATCTGCCACACTTAGTGCACTTCGGTGCATTCACAGCTCGTACCAGTTGCCCTCACAGAAGGAGCACATCGGTATCCTTCTAATCACAAAAGTAATTGGGATAATTTTTGATCTTTGGTTGAATCGGTAATCTAAAGGTGCTATTTGCAAGAGCGTTCGCTTCGGGACCCGCCTTGTTTCACGCTATTTGAAGATTTTTGAATTGAGATAACGATTTTTATATATTAGATCTACTTGAGCGGCCTTAGGCTTTACCGCGCGGACATCTGGCACAAATTTTGTACATCCACATGGTTGCAATTTGTAACAGTTCTTCAAAAGCACACAAACACAGTTTTCTTTTCCGCCGCTGAATTGATCTAGATTAATTTTTGATTTTCTAATTTTTTACTCTTTTTCTCCAATCATTCTTGATTTACCTAAGCTCAATACACTTCTTGTTCTTCATTATTTACCAATCTTCTTCTTGACAGCGCTAATTCTTGTGTCCTTGTTTACCGATCTCAAAGATTTATAGGCGTTTTCTCTTCCTCTTTCTTTTCTCTCCGCAACAAATCATGGGATTACTTACGGAAAGTATGTTGGATGATCCAGCAATGTTACGATTTATGTATGAAGTCGGAAATCTTTATTCAAATTCTAAACGGGGTTCATGGCTTATTGACGTGAGTTCTAGGGGTTTTTTGTGAGCTTTTTGGGGCTAGAACTTATGAATTTTCGCGAAAATTTTTTGAAGTTTCTATTTTTCCAGGTGGAAGAATACATGGCACAATTACCGAATCATATCGTACCAAGAGTGAATTCTAGCGGTGAAAAACATCGCGAAAAACAGCTCCTCACTCAGCTGCCACGGCAGGATCTATCTGTTGCATACTGCCGACATTTAGGATCGAACACTGAACGAAAGGTTAGTGCAGAGGTTTTATTTGATCTACACATGTAGATCAAATATGTCACGTTGGTTGTTAAGCTTTGTTAAACAAGAAGAAAAATTGTTCGAAATCCTTATACAATATCAGATTGACTTAGAAATTTTGATCTTAATTTTGAATAGCATTTGAAAATGCTAAAACCGGTTTTCTGCCAGAATCTCAATTTCAAAAAATTAAACCAATTTTTTTCCGAATTCCCTACTTTTGTTACTTGCTTGTACCTTTGATACTCGTAGTCAAGAGGCAGTGTTATTAGACACTAAATAAATATGAGAATGTGGAAAAAGGAAAAATCAAAGAAACTGTGAAGGAAGTGGAAGATTATGTATCCGAAGTATCTAAAGACTTATGTAGATTTCTGCATATGTGATTATTATAATTTTTAGAGTTTTGGAAGAAAGAAATTGTGATAATTCTTTCCAAAATTTTTTTCCAAATTTTTCTCGGCTCAACAGTGGCTTAGAAAAAATACTGTGCTATTAACCAGCGTGTTACAAATAGAAAAATTCGAAAATTCTGGAACTAATCTACTTGCTAAATTACTAACTTAAGCTGACTCAGATTTTAAATATCCTCTTTGAAGAGGCAGTGCTTCCATACATTCTAAAGAATAATGAATTCAATAAATAATTGATGATGAACCTTAAAGAATTTTTGCGAATTTTGAATTGCGCAAAATAAAAATAGGTTACTTGAAAGAAAAAATTCGGAAGTGCTTCAAAAAAAATTGCAGTAATTATGATTTTGTATGCAGTTTGCGCGAAATCTCCAGACATTTTCAGCATTTGAATAAATAAAGAAAAAATTGCAGAACTATTTATTTCCGCTCAAAAAGTCGAAAAAAAATTTTTTTTTGCATACGATCTGCTCAAACTTGCTTTAAGCGAGTTCCACTTAAAAACCAAAAAAAAAAAAAAATTTCTCGACCGCAATGTTCACACACTGCTAGTAGCTACCGTAAACATAATTAATATCTGTGTTATCTATGTTTACGAACAGTGGTCTTGACAGAGATTGATTTTTGACAGAGAACTGATGATGGAAATTACACGAAATTGATAGAATTTTGAGCTCTGCCCCTAATTAGTTTTGAAAACACGTGCTAGAAAGAATTTCCCGTTTCTTCATAAAAAGTTGCGAAGGCTGTATCGTGGTTTTCGGTCTAATAAATCCACAAGCTCAATAGTGCCAGTAGTACTCTTCAGTACAAAAGTATTGTACTTACAAGATTACTCAAATATAACTTGAAATTAAATTTTCTCTATATTATTGTGGAACAAACTACATGGCAAATCGATTAGCTCATCTTTCCTTTAGTTCCACCACATTTGTAAATTGTCTCCACGAACAACTGCAGATGTCATGTTCGACAGCAAAAAAAAACTACGTTGATTTTCTAGACATCAACGACAGGTTTTCGTATTTGGAAATGACACAGATCGTAGGAAATAACATTTGTGTGCTGATATGTCAATCGGGGACATCATTAAAAAAGTGACACCTATATGAATGAGAACATCAATCTGGGATGAAGACTGGATAGGAAGAAGTGAAAAGGGGGGAGGGAGTGGAGGGAGGGAGAGAGGGAAGAGGTTGAAGGAGTGCTACTGGAATTTGCGATGTTGGAAATTCATTGGCGCTAATGGGACCAATTTTTTTTACAATTTTTTGCATTTTTTGCACTATAACGTTGTTTTTATAGGACCGATAAATAACAAGTCTTTTTTACTAAAGACAGAGAATTCCGGCACTATCGGCGCAAAAAACTTCTTTAACGGGGTGGGGGAGGAGGGGGAGATAATATATTTTGCTTGATAAAGGGGGTGTGGCGTTACAAAAAAATCTCGCGAGCTTCTACTTTATAGACTCAGGAAAATTATTCCAATTAATAAGTACAAAACTGCCCGTATAAATTTTGATTTAGTTGGCTTGGCGGCTGGAAGGCGGGGCTTTGTGACCTAATTAAGGCCGCTCGCGCCCGCGACACAGTCTGCGTCTCTGCTGCTCGCGCGCTCTATGATCATCATCTAGCCTTAACTAGGTTACAAAGCCCCGCCTTTCAGCCGCCAAGTGTTGAATTAAAGGGTACTATCATAACTGATGGCCAGCTTTTCTAACATCTCGCTATACTTTTTCGAAAGAGAGGGTGGGGTGGTGCTGTAAGTTTGCGTTGTAGGACGTGCTCGTCATCGGGATAGATCACGAAATCAAAAATCAAGTTTGACCATGAAAGTTTTGTTGTGGAAATCAAATAGCAGTTCACAAGAACTGGTCCCCGTACTCGACACATTCGATTTTTATTAATTTTATGTAATATTTGATCATTGATCTTGGAACTCTATGACAAAGATTGTATTATTATACTCAGCAGTTGCGAAAGGACCCAGTTTTCGCATAGACATAACTTCAAAAAAAATTGAATCTTTGTTAGACTAGAATGCCTTAGAGCTGTAGATTTTTTTGATAACTAGTGGATCAGTAATCTAAAGGTGCTATTTGGAAAAGCTTTGCTTCGTGACCCGTTGCGGTTTCCCGCTATTGGAAGATTTTTGAATTGAGCTAACGATTCTCTATCTAATATATTCTGAAAAAATTCTGAACCTTTGAATAATTTGTTTTTATATTGATTTAAGTTTCTTTGATTTTTGTAAGAATTAAATAAATTCTGTGCATTCTTAGCACAAAGATATGGGACTGCATTATGGTTTTTCATTGCAAACGTTGTTTCCAGGTTTATGAAGAATTCATCAATGCCCGAAATGAGATTGCCCTCGATATCGGTTATGTTGCTGCAAATATCCCTAAACGAATGGTAGGTCTTCGCTTAAGATGACGTCATATAGACCCCTCCCCCCCTCCCCCCCCCCCCCAAAAAAAAATCGTAAATCGTATTTCTTCAGGAATGTCACAAATGCTCCGGAATATTGGAACGTGACGAAATGGCTGTGATAGCGCCAAAACTGGGCGAATCCACCGGTTGGCATCCGGCTTGCTTTACCTGTACCACCTGTGAACAGGTCATCATTGTTTCCCTGATCGGGGAAGAAATTGATATATTGAGTGATTTCAGCTCCTAGTCGATTTGACGTACTGCGTAAAGGATGATCAGATCTACTGTGAGCGTCACTATGCTGAGCTGCATAAACCACGTTGCGCCGCCTGCGATGAGGTACGGTATTGTAGTAGTACGGTAGTGACGGGTATGCAATCAATCGATAATCATCCTGCCCGTGCGGAGTGTAAGACTTGTCATTTGGACCAGATAGGCTATTTTAGAGATACCGTTAATATGAAATTATGCTGCCCAAAAGTGAATTTCAGGAATATAGGAATCCCGTAACAGGTATACTAAAGAAAAATCCAGAGGCATTACTGTAAAAGTACGGTATTCGTATGGTAGAGTTGATTCCGATTCCGGGAGGAGCTTTAAGCTTCTTTTATTCGTTGGAGAATAGAACTTTCGAGAATATGCTTGAAAGTTTATGCCCTCCCCCCCCCCCCCCCAATAAAAAATGATTGTATATTGTCCGACATCTTATGCTGTTTTCGTAGCTTTTTCGGCTATGTCCCATGTACTATTACCCATACGAATTACATATTACCCATTTGAACGAAAGGAAGCAGTCCGAAGGATCATTGTAGGATTACGGTATTTATACGGTAGGAACCTGATCAGGTGGAAAAAAAGTCAAAAGTTTCTTATTTCCGGCATTTACAATGCACATGAAGCCTTCCATAGTTTACAATACCCGTACTGAACACCTACCTTACTCCGACCGTACAAAGGCAATGCTTAACCAGCATATCATAAGACATATACAAACACTTTTATGTCTAATGCTCCGTTCCTCGCAGAAATTGATTGGGAAGCTCAAAAAACTGGGTATTTCAAAAATGGATCAATACGCATCTAATACATTGCCTAACGTTTACGGTACCTTCAATGAGCATCTACCGCATTCATACCGTACTGCTTCTGCACGTAGTCATCATACACATGGGATCTGTACTACATTGTTTACAGCCAACAGATCACAACGGAAGTTAATTAGGAAGCTCAAAAATAGATCCGTTAAAAAAATGGATCAATGAGCATCTATTACATTACCCAAAGACTAATTCGTCTGATCTCCTCGCTTTGCGCTTTGATCTATGCGAGGGAAGAGCAATCGCAGCAGGAGACCCGCAGTTTTTCTCTAGTCCATGCAATTAGTCGTTGTTGCCCGTTATGCCATTATTCAAAGACTTGCAAAATCAGTGTTCTACGTCTCTTTTCGTTCTCAGAAACATTCAGGAGTAATTTGTCAATTGCGATGGAGTACGGTTGCTTACCAAGGCAGATTATGCTGTATTTCATAACTTGTACTCGTTCTTCAAGTCCAAAACAAACTTGAAGTATTGATTTTTCTTTACAGTATTCTGTAATTACATGTATCACTACATAAATAAAGTAATCCACGGTAGGAGCAATGTAGATTTTCTGAGAAATATTAGCTGAAATTATAGCTATTTTTTTGAATTTCTTTCTCTGCAGTCTTTAAGTCTGAAGTAAGGAGGTGATGATTCCTCCACAAATTAATTGTGATGAACATGTATTGCTGTGAAAGTACGGTAATTATACGGTCGGGGCAAAAATTTTGTGAAATTTGTAGTATGGCAAGTACAACAAAAAACCACATCGTTCGCGGAAACTGCATAAATTCAAAGATTTCTCACAGCGCCCCTCGTTGTACGAGCAATAACAAATCAATAAAATCAATATCTAACTAACGGTGTCCCGGAAATTTTTTTTTGAGGTGGGGGTACAAAAATTTCCTCATTGGGAAAACCTCTAAAAATTTTTGAACCAGCTTGTTAGGCTTGCAACTTTTTTGCAAGGCAGATTTAAGTTTTATGAAATTTTTGAGATCATTTTCTGTTCTTCATAGTGAGAATTCGATTTTTTGAAAATACTTCCTTTTTTGAAGTTATGTATTTTACCTTGTATCCTGGTTTTTAGGGCTAAGTTGGGCTTTGAATTTTTGCCGTAAGAAATCAATATTTTATCAATAAAAGCAAAAATTTGAGATATAATTTTCGTAGATTCATCTTTTTATCCTGTGTAAAATTCAAACTCTGCAGAATGTTGGGGTAATTCAACGTACTTTTATTTTTAGCCTTTATATAGCACCTTCCCCCCCCCCTCCCTCTCCTTTTTGCTCCTTTCTTCCTCGTAAACGATTTCAAATCCTCATAATCCCTCCGCCGCATGTTTTACACAATCGTTTGCCAAGATAAAGCACATAGTGATGCCATTAACGCACAACGTCTTTTCTGTTTACGAACGCGCACAAGAAAAAGCTATGATACATGCCTCCTCATCATCTTTTCCCCATGTAAACAATGGACAAATCACAATGGATTAGATTTGTCATCTATCAACATACCGAAAAAGAAAGCCGCTCGCCTATGCGTCATCAAGACGGGGCCTATTTTCGTGTTGGGACTCGAATGGGCCAATAATATGCGATCGTTGCTGCGCATTAGCAAGTTATGGGAATACGAGGAAACTTATATAGGGCACTCAAAAGTCCAAAACTCTTCAGAATAAGCGCAATGACTGCTGTTCACTCTGCGTCATCGAGTTGTGATACCATTTTCGTGTTAGGACGCAAATGGGCCAATAATAGGCGATCATTGCTCTACGCATTAGCAAGTTATAGGAATACGAGGAAACTCATATGGAGCACTCGAAAGTCCAAAACTCTTCAGAATAAGTGCTGTAACCGCATACCTATGCGTCATCAAGATATGAGACCTGTTTTCGTGTTAGGACTCAAATAGATGAATGGGGTGATCGTTGCTCTGCGCATTAACAAGTTATTAACAAGTTATAGAAGTACTTGAATACTAGAGTGCTTAAAAGTTCAAAACTCTTCAAATTTGATGCTTTAAAATGGGCAAAATGGACGAGTTACCAATTTTTCTTCGAACAAAATCAATTTTTCCTCTTTCTCATAGTCCAATCAGCAATTCGCCGTTTACCATGTGACGTCGTATGACTAATGCTCTTAGGTTCTTCAGGAGAAACTGGTAGGAAAGAAAAGAATGGACTTTGGCACACATTGTTGGCTGTGGCAGTAACAATGGCTGTGCCGATTTGTTATTCAACGCCAAATTTGCTCAAGCTCTTTGCTCATTGTGCTGCTTGATTTTTTGTCTCCATAATTGTGACGTATATTTTTGGAGTGCCATTTTCACTGCTTAGAAAATGGTAGAAGAGTTGAAGCTTGAGCGATCAAGTTTACTTCCTTATGTCGCTCGCGTGGTCCTGCAGGGAAGCGTTACCTTACCGTAGTCTGTACAAGACAAAACCTATCTTACACTGATATGAGCTTGAGATCTTCAATTCTTCCTTACTGATTCGCTTAGTACTCAGATTTTCTATTCCATTATATTCATGAGAGCCGCCATTGATAACTTCAAAGAAAAATATGTCAGAGCTTGCGCGCGGTACCTTTTACCATGGGGCGCGTTAACTATCATTTGTGAAAAGGCGACCGCTTCGCGGAGGCACTAGTGCGGCGTTCGCGACTGACCGCCATTTTCAAGTAAGAAAATAGGGTCCACGCAGTTCATACTTATTTCTAGGGTAGTCGAGATTTTTTTAGCTCTGTTCAAGACAACTCTGAATATCCTATTTCTCTAGACTTTTCGCTACCGAGAAAAAAGGAAACTTGCTAGCGTCACTGAAAGCTGGAAAAATAACCAGTTGTATTTTTTTGTCTACTTTTTCAAATTTGATTTTATCTAACCGCTGCTTCCAGTCTAGTCCCTTTGCCTTAAAAATTACAAATCGGGCAACTCCCATGATGTCATTTCACACTTGTGTAATTAGAGCACATTATTGGAAACCGGCGAGCAATTTTCTTGGAACTACTTTTGTTCTTTTTGTTACTTACTGGAACAATTTGATGAAGTAATTTGCTCTCAGTCAAACCCAAAGCCAGGCCAAAGATCAAAAATCCAAAAAATTAGCTTTGAAAATGACGAAAGGTGGGCGGGGCTTAGCTGGGATCAAGAAATCTGGACAATTGCTCTCAATTTGTTGGGAGCTTAGGTGCTGACAGTACATCAAGTAGCAATTAATTCACACATGTTATTGTCCTCCCTGTTTATTTCAAGGCTGACAGACGTGTCTCTCTCCCCCCCCCCTCCTCCCCAAGAATTCTCAGACAACAAAAAACTTTCTTCCCAGCTTTCCCTTTTTCCTCAGATTCGTATGAGGTTCTCATGTCGCTTGTACTTTTGCCTGCGAACTTGAGGATATGGATATAGTATGAGTTTTTTGGAGACGCAGACATTCATTGTAGCGCACTTTTTCGTATTGTTACAGCATTTATGTGAACGTGTGTGCATAGCGGACAGGAATTTTTTTGCTTTGGCCAGACTAATCGATACCCATGTTTTGAGCGGAGATGATTGCGAGGTGTGATAGCTATTAGTAGGCGCTAAATTTCATTGTTCCCCCGAAATGTCAGTTGTTCCGCTGCGACAAATTTACCCGAACATCCGCCAAATGTGCATTGATCCAGATGCACAAGTTTAGCTGTCCTAATCCCCCCCCCCCTTTCCCCCCCTCCCCCGAGCACGCATCTCCCTAACAATCCGCATCCGTCCGTCCAGAATGGGGTTAGAGAGCAAGTGTTGACGAGCTGGGTACTGGCGCTCGGACAAAGCTTCGAAGCTATAGTTGAAGCCGTTCATCGGACATTTATCAAATCCATTGCGCCAAGCGACATCTTTAGTTTCTATAAGTCGCTACGGCGTATAGCTCGCGGTTTTGCTAGTTGTTAGTATATGTTCACCAATTCGCTGTTCTGTAAAGAATGCATCAAATTTAGATTGAGTTGCTTGTTTACATGCACTAATTAGCACGCATAGATGTGCATTTCCAAGTATGGAAAGAAATTGGATGTGTTACTCGAGTTACCGTAGCATACCCAAAGCTTACCTAGGGTTACCCAGAGTTAACTATGCTTAGCATTTTTGCGCCACAGGCCTTTTCAGCTTTCTATAAACTATCTACACTTGGCGACTGAGGCTGACAAAATTATTACTTTTCCTTATTTTTTCTTACCCATTGATCGATTGATTATTTAACCCCCAAAGTAACCATTACCAGCCCAT